TTGTAATCTTTGAAATCAAACACTTAGTTTTAGTAGAATTGCAGGAACCACAGACTGAAAATTGGAATGATGCAAATCGATGCTATCTGTGTCCCCAATAATTTTGATATCCTCTTCACAATTGTTGTCATTATTTCAGTAGAGTATTTAGGGGGAGGGGCAATGGGTCATGGTCCTTCTCTCGAGCCTCTTACAGGTCCTATTTTGAAGTAAAATTAAGCCCCCGGCTCCAGGCTTCAAAGAGAAACACTTTTCATATTTGGCCTCCTCCTCTTGATACGCCCTGGTTACATATAACCTTCCTAGCTTTTCTATTAACATCAAGATATCTATCAGCATGAACACACTATTATTGTCTTATTATACAATCACATATTTTACTAATCTTTGATTTTCTGCAAATAACGATTGGAATAGAATAACGGAACATTCTCCTCGACATTCAATGCTTTCAGAACCAAATTATTCTGACCAACGTACCTTGTGATCAAATTATATATTGTTTTACAACCACGATCGCCTAAATTATAGCAGTTTGTATATTTCTATTAACATGAATAAATAAAAAGAGATTTTAAACATCCTACTTTTAGGCCTTTTTTGAGCTAAAATTGTACTGTTTAACCAATATTATCCAGTATAATATTATTTCTAACGATCCATAGGAGAAGCCCTAACATTGGGATTCTATTTTGTGTCTTGGAAAAGTACATTTTGAAAAGTTTATATAATGCACTTAGGTAATTGGATAAGCAATTTATACAACCACATTCTACTAGCGATGTTATTTAAAACCCAATTAAACATATTATAAAAACATAATTGGAAATAAACTACCTGAACTTTGCCTATAAAAGAAGAGAATGTAAACAAAGGTAAAAGTTTACCTGGCTGGTTTCCTCGGCTCTTTTAACTCGTAACCTGCCTGCACGCGCCAACACCAAAAGAGATTTGACTGAAAGCAGACGATGTTAGGCCAACTTCCAGATGTTGGTACTGGTAACCAATGGTAACGGGTAATATCAGAATTGTTTGGTACCTGAAAGAAGAATAAATAACCATGGTAAAGAATCTGATTTCATGGTATTTTGAATGCTATTAGAGCACCCAGTGATAGTGGCTCATCTAGATGTATGGGGGTCGTGGACGTAAGTGGTTTGCGGCCGTTACCCCAGGAACTTTATTTTTTTTAATTCTTCATAATTTTTTTTTTTATATTCTCCTGCAATTTTTGTCTGGGGTGGGGCTCGCTCGTTGTTCAGCCAGTCCCCATTGTAGTTGAGCCATTGTTCAGTGGATTAGCGAGGATTTGTGAGTAGGCATGTACGAGAGGTTCGGAGATTGAAACAATAGAGGAGGGCAAATTATGAATCTAAAATATAAGAGATATTAATCTGATCACGGGATTTTCGCTTATGGTCAATTGGTCACAAGGTAAATAAATAGAATATAATTGTTTATGGCAATTAGGCCACTGCGTAAATTGATAGCATAGCGATGCTAACCATAACTGACTTTAAAGACAGCTTAAAATGCACTTGTTACGGTCCGGACTCTGTAATCATTTTAATGCACTATTCAGTATTCAAAAAACCTCATCCACACTCGTGTCAATACTTGGTGGTCGACAAGTTTGATAAATGTCTCGCTACAGGCTATAAACTAAGAGGATAAACTATGACTAAGACAATATTTATTAAATAGGTGGAGATTGTTTATAACGTAGGTTTTCAGCTACTGGGACATTTCAACCTTTCATTGAGGACATTTAATGTGCCACGACCCATGAAAAGCATCTATCCGACAGCAAATTATAAACATCCCATATGACTAAACTATACCGGATGTAAATTAATGCGCCAAAATACGAATCTCTTGCTATAAAATTTAAATAAAGGAAAATATACAACTCGGTTGTAAAAAAAAAAAAAATTTCAGAGAAAAGACATTTGAAAAGGTGTCAAAGATTCGGAGAGATTCAAATGAAATAAATTGAGATTTACGTCCGTTTGTATCTGCACCTGATTAGGTAAATGATGACAGGCATCGCCATGCAGTGTACAATGAGGGTAATTTTGCCAGAACAGCGGCATTAGCCTACTCTTTAAAAGAGATTCAAAAGAAAAGAAATATCGAAACGAAATGAATGAATAATTTATACTCATGCTTTTTATCTATTCATACTTCAACTGTTAAAACCATTTTAGATATGAGAAATTTATCGGCTTATTAAGATTTAAAGTTATAAGAAAAACAAGATGAAATATTATTTAAAGTTGTAAAATTATCTCTGGGAATCCATTAAGGTTTGAAAATGCGGTAATGATAAGATATCAGTTTGATTTATTCCGTTCATGTATCATTGCCAAATACTCAAAAATATAAGCATGCAAAGCTCAGTCTGATTTTAAACGAGCAAATAAACTCGGAAGAAATATGTCAAGATTTGTCTTTAAAGAGATTCTAAAGAGATTTTCTAATTTTATGTGTATTATGGAAACTGACAGCATTCATTCGCGGTTTATTTCCATATTACCCCTTCCCATTATGTCCAAAGCAATTGCAAAGTAAACTCAACCGGAATCCCATTCCGGGACAAAACAATGTGCATGGCATAAGTTTAAATAATGAAGGCGCAAAGTGGAAAAGGGCGAAACGGAAGAGGGCAAATTATCAAGGGGTGGTATGGGAAAGGGGTTAAACAGTGGAAGGACGAAACGGAAATGATTTAGGGGAGAGTTGGGAAGGGGCGATACCTCCATTCGCATCTCTCTATTTTTCAGTCAGTGTGAGGCTTAAAATTCCGTTTCGATTGTGACGTCATATACGGCTTGGCATTTCTATAGGCGTTGGAACAACAGGCATTGGAATGGTCCAAAAGAAAACATGAATGCCCTGATACACATAAAAAAGATTGAAAAACTCTTTACAATTCGTTTAAAGGCATCGCTACTTTTCCTGTACAGATTCGACTGTGCAAAAAACAAAGTTTACGAGGTAGAAGATATATTAAGAAAAACATCAATAAATCAATCGTAAAGGAATATATATGGGCTATTAATGTCCTTATATCCGGCAAAACGTCTCGGAAATATGCTCTAGAAAAATAGTTTCATTTGAACTGGTATTGGCTGTTGAAGCAATGGCTCACAAGTACTGTTTATAATACATATATACCAAACTAAATGAACAACATTAGCTATAAATGAACTCTCCGAAAGAACATGCCGAGTTGACAAATCAAGTCGTAGAATGGCATCAGGTGTCCTGGAAGGGTGAGCATATCCTGCATTGCCAGGTACAATCACCACCCATCGATTAGGTGTTACAGAAGATACTCTCCTATAGAAACACTAGCCAAGGTCACAAGTATTAGGCGTTACAGAATATACTCGCCTGTAGAAACACTAGCCAAGGTCACAAGTATTAGGTGTTACAGAAGATACTCGCCTGTAGAAACACTAGCCAAGGTCACAAGTATTAGGTGTTACAGAAGATACTCGCCTGTAGAAACACTAGCCAAGGTCACAAGTATTAGGTGTTACAGAAGATACTCGCCTGTAGAAACACTAGCCAAGGTCACAAGTATTAGGTGTTACAGAAGATACTCGCGTAGAGAAACACTAGCCAAGGTCACAAGTATTAGGTGTTACAGAAGATACTCGCCTAAAGAAACACTAGCCAAGGTCACAAGTATTTGGTGTTACAGAAGATACTCTCCTACAGAAACACTAGCCAAGGTCACAAGTATTTGGTGTTACAGAAGATACTCGCCTGTAGAAACACTAGCCAAGGTCACAAGTATTAGGTGTTACAGAAGATACTCGCGTAGAGAAATACTAGCCAAGGTCACAAGTATTAGGTGTTACAGAAGATACTCGCCTAAAGAAACACTAGCCAAGGTCACAAGTATTAGGTGTTACAGAAGATACTCGCCTAAAGAAACACTAGCCAAGGTCACAAGTATTTGGTGTTACAGAAGATACTCTCCTACAGAAACACTAGCCAAGGTCACAAGTATTTGGTGTTACAGGAGATACTAGCCTAGAGAAACACTAGCCAAGGTCACAAGTATTTGGTGTTACAGAAGATACTCTCCTACAGAAACACTAGCCAAGGTCACAAGTATTAGGTGTTACAGGAGATACTCGCCTAGAGAAACACTAGCCAAGGTCACAAGTATTAGGTGTTACAGAAGATACTCGCCTGTAGAAACACTAGTCAAGGTCACAAGTATTAGGTGTTACAGAAGATACTCGCCTGTAGAAACACTAGCCAAGGTCACAAGTATTAGGTGTTACAGAAGATACTCGCCTGTAGAAACACTAGCCAAGGTCACAAGTATTAGGTGTTACAGAAGATACTCGCGTAGAGAAATACTAGCCAAGGTCACAAGTATTAGGTGTTACAGAAGATACTCGCCTAAAGAAACACTAGCCAAGGTCACAAGTATTAGATGATATAGAAGATACTCTCCTATAGAAACACTAGCCAAGGTCACAAGTATTAGGTGTTACAGAAGATACTCGCCTATAGAAACACTAGCCAAGGTCACAAGTATTAGGTGTTACAGAAGATACTCGCCTAAAGAAACACTAGCCAAGGTCACAAGTATTAGGTGTTACAGAAGATACTCGCCTAAAGAAACACTAGCCAAGGTCACAAGTATTAGGTGTTAAAGAAGATACTCGCCTATAGAAACACTTGCCAAGGTCACAAGTATTAGGTGTTACAGAAGATACTCGCCTATAGAAACACTAGCCAAGGTCACAAGTATTAGGTGTTACAGAAGATACTCGCCTATAGAAACACTAGCCAAGGTCACAAGTATTAGGTGTTACAGAAGATACTCGCCTATAGAAACACTAGCCAAGGTCACAAGTATTAGATGATATAGAAGATACTCGCCTAAAGAAACACTAGCCAAGGTCACAAGTATTAGATGATATAGAAGATACTCTCCTACAGAAACACTAGCCAAGGTCACAAGTATTAGGTGTTACAGAAGATACTCGCCTATAGAAACACTAGTCAAGGTCACAAGTATTAGATGATATAGAAGATACTCTCCTACAGAAACACTAGCCAAGGTCACAAGTATTTGATGTTATAGAGGTGATACTCGCCTAGAGAAACACTAGCCAAGGTCACAAGTATTAGGTGTTACAGAAGATACTCTCCTACAGAAACACTAGCCAAGGTCACAAGTATTTGGTGTTACAGAAGATACTCTCCTACAGAAACACTAGCCAAGGTCACAAGTATTAGGTCCTCACAGAAGATATTTATTCATATATATGAATTTCGAACTAACTGGGTTCGTAAGAGGCTATTCTTCAATAGATAACCTTAACCTGGGACAAATTACTTGGGCAATGAGCAGATCCGTAGCTACAGGGGGCAATTAAACCATAACCATGGCCCCTCCAGAAATATAACTTGCCTCTCCGAACAACCAAGTCTTGCTACTAGCCTGGCATTGAGACCTGAAAACCGGTTATTTACACAAGCAGGTACGCAAAACATTTATCATACTCAGTTTCTACGGAAATGAATTATGCCCCTCACAACAAGAACAGACAAGTATTAAAGATTAATATGATAATGCCAGAAACACTGTGCAAGAAGGAATAGATTGATAAAAAATTCTTTGACAAAACAAGTTATGCATCTGTAATCGTAGTAAAACCTCTGCTAAGTATGCAAGGTCTCGATAAAATTGAACTGGGATTTTTGCAGATATCTTGATGTCAACCGTAACATTTGCATTCGAAATTGACACAGAAAATGCACACGAACTAGAAGTTAGATTCCAATTCTCAAAAGTAATCGAGAGTACTCAGTGGTAAAAATTATAATATAGATAACGTTGTGTGGGTATTTAACTGTATCTTTTTATGATTAATAGAAATAAAAATGTTCTACTTACTTTCAGGGTAAGGAAACAGCTAGTGGCCAGATGTATCTTTCTATATGATGTATGTTTTCCTTCAAATATACTGATGAAAAACGTTTAATGCTATTCAAAAGAAATTTTTGGCTTGTTGTATGTGCGTATTTGTATTATATTTCTACAATGGCATTTACCTTAATGACGTCATATTTTCGTCGACCTTTTGAGTCGAAGGGAAATCCGAATAGAGGATACAGAAGCTACACGTGTACCCTGACCCCCACTGGTCCACACAGACTGGTAGAAAGGGTTGGTGTATCTACAAACTAATCTAATACCCGATATAGATATACATACAAAAAGTAGAAAACCTCTTTTATATCTATTTAAAAGAAAACAGGTTTGAAATTAGGTTTTTTTTTTCTTCCCAAGCTGAAGTTACTGAACTGTTTCACTAGCCTATATCATCTTCACTCATCAAGGTTTATATTAGCCTATTCAACATCAGCAAGGTTCAAACGATCTTCACAGTGTCAAGCTATTACGAACTGCATCTAATGCCTTGACGGCAATAGACTCTTTTCTTGCATCACGGAAGTTTGTAAACACAGCGATTTAATTATATTGTACGCAAGGCCCTTGTCATGAAGTCTGTTATGTTCACACGTTATTAGCTGTATTCGCTAGCGTACACTCCAATCAAATCGCTGCATTCCATGATGCATGAAATGTGGCTATTGCAGTCAAGGTATAAGACGCATTTCGTAAAAACTTGACATTGTGAAGATGGGCTCATAAGCGTGATTAAACAATCATGTTTAAAGTTTAGCTGGAAAGTTTGTTTTACTGTTTTCAATTTAAAATGTCAAGTCGTTGGCGGATGACTGATGTGTTTGTATCTAGCGATGGGGGGTTCAAATTGGGTGTATGCAGGATACCTAGGATACTACCATTTTACACGATAATATTATATTCCATAAATACTCAGGGGACAGAAAGGTGAAGAGCAAAGGGTTTTGGGGATTAGTCACCGAGTTTTTTGCTTAGGTGCTCTAAAGAACTTCAGATTCCAATTTCAACGTCGAGGTTCCATTACTCACCCTCCCCGAATTTTCAACTTTTTAATCCTTTTTTACTTGAATGTTATTTTAAAATTCACAATTTTTGTTTTTTAAAACTTGTACACCTGTAAGATATCATTCTTGAAGACAGTTGAAACATCAACGGCCACCCTTTTTTATTGTTACCATGGCGATATAATACTTTGTTTATTGACTCTCAGGGAGATGGCGTTTCTCTCCAGTTAATAATAGGTTGTGCATAGTACAATACACTTGTAGTTGACGAAGAGTTGTAGCCCATTCTTTCGATTCAGTTATTCAAAATGCTTAGGATTCAATGACGTCATTTAGCCTACCTGGTTACGCCTTGCAAAATGAAGACGGTAGATAGTCTTTGAAAACATCCAAAGCAGATGCAGGACGTGAAGCTTGCCTTGGATGTTAGATAAATTCATGGATCGGAACTATGGGATCGTATAAGTGACAGCCGTCTTTCCACTGTGCGTATTGTTTAGGGAATGGTGGCGCTGGTCTTTCACTGCAGTTTTGACATCCCTCAATAATTCTTTTCTGTAATGCGTATACTTCCACGATCAAGTTAGCTGCCATGTTGCAAGATGTTGATTCTAAGATAAAACAAGCAGACGACTGTCTTAAAATCGATTTTTTCACTAAAATTCGTCTAAAAATTGTTTTGTGAAACACAGTAGTATCCTACTATAGTAAGATAGTATCCTAACTTAAAATTGATTTTAGCAAAAACGCCAAAAGAAGATTTTCTGAAACAGAAACATCCGTCAAGGATTAATTTTGAAAAAATTCTTATAGGTGGAAGAAAGATTCCTTGGCCTTGATGCTCCATGTTCCCGATGACAGTAAAAAGTTAAAACAAACGACCTAGATGTACGTTTTATTGTGTGCCCCATTTTATTTTTAAAAGAGATTATTGCTATTTTAAACACGAATTGAATCAGAAAAGGTGAAGGAAAATATCTCAAAGCAAAAAAAGAAACATTAATTTGTTTCGTTTTATTTTTAAAATAATTTTGATTCAATAATATTGACGTCAACAAAAATTCCGTCAAATTGAAAAGTTTCGTTTTGTAGTATGAAAATCTACGATCCTTAAATTTGACAATGCTCAGCGGCAGCGGTAGGCGGTTGGCTTTTAAAACCCACCCCCTTAGAGACAATATTGACATTGTTCCAGCAACTGTTTGGGAAAGAGATGGTAAATGAATTAGTGCAAAATTCTACCTTTGATAAACTGTGTTTTCTCCCCTTAATTTGAGATTTTTGCGTTTAAAGATCTTTAACCTTGTACCTGCTCGTAAATGTATATTAAGAAAACAAACTTATACACATCATTAGCTATGCCGAAACTCATCAAGGGATGTCGGGTTCACCAACCATGTAAGAAGAGGTATCATGACAAGAGTTAACTTGCATATATCAACATACAGGTTGGTTGGTTGGTAAATAACAAGTTAAAGTTCGCTT